CTCGGCCTGGGGCTCCATGCAAGATCTCACCTCGTGGAGTTGCAATGATCATGAGAACGGTGAGGAATCAGCCGAGAACTACACAAGAAGATCTTGTCAATGATCTCAAGGCAGCTGGGACCATAGTCACTAAGAAAACAATTGGTAACACACTACGCCGTGAAGGACTGAAATCATGCAGCGCCCGCAAGGTCCCCCTGCTCAAGAAAGCACATATACATGTCTGTCTGAAGTTTGCCAATGAACATCTGAATGATTCAGAGGACAACTGGGTGAAAGTGTTGTGGTCAGATGAGACCAAAATGGAGCTCTTTGGCATCAACTCAACTCGCCGTGTTTGGAGGAGGAATGCTGCCTATGACCCCAAGAACACCATCCCCACCGTCAAACATGGAGGTGGAAACATTATGCTTTGGGGGTGTTTTTTCTGCTAAGGGGACAGGACAACTTCACTGCATCAAAGGGACGATGGACGGGGCCATGTACCGTCAAATCTTGAGTGAGAACCTCCTTCCCTCAGCCAGGGCATTGAAAATGGGTCGTGGATGGGTATTCCAGCGTGACAATGACCCAAAACACACGGCCAAGGCAACAAAGGAGTCGCTCAAGAAGAAGCAGATTAAGGTCCTGGAGTGGCCTAGCCAGTCTCCAGACCTTAATCCCATAGAAAATCTGTGGAGGGAGCTGAAGGTTCGAGTTGCCAAACCTCAGCCTCGAAACCTTAATGACTTGGAGAAGATCTGCAAAGAGGAGTGGGATAAAATCCCTCCTGAGATGTGTGCAAACCTGGTGGCCAACTACAAGAAACGTCTGACCTCTGTGATTGCCAACAAGGGTTTTGCTACCAAGTACTAACTCATGTTTTGCAGTGGGGTCAAATACGTATTTCCCTCATTAAAATGCAAATCAATTTATAACATTTTTAACATGCGTTTTTCTGGATTTTGTTGTTGTTATTCTGTCTCACTGTTCAAATAAACCTACCATTAAAATTATAGACTGATCATTTATTTGTAAGTGGGCAAACGTACAAAATCAGCACAGGATCAAATACTTTTTTCCCTCATTGTACTTTCTACTGATGGCAGCAGTATAGCTTTTAAAATACACTTAGCTTAAGTTACAAACAAATGTACATTGTTAAGATATTATTTTTTGTTCAGCAAATGAATTAATTCCATCTCGCATCACGTTCTTCTTATTTATTGTAGCACCAGAGATTGAAAACGAATTTCTTCGATTGAAAACTCATTTCTAGATTGACAACTACATTTCCTTAGAGCTGATTTTAGTTCTCGGTTTGTTGTCACTTCCCCGCATCTCCGATCAGCACGGTTGGCTACGTGCGGTGCGAAATAACTTCAACGTATGCACATACGTACATGCACCAGTGCAGGATTATCCTAGTAGCAAAAGTAGCTACATGTGTAGTAGCTACGGCCCCCGCACTTTCAAGGGCCCCGCGCTAAATGCTTTCAAGCTATCAATTCCGGTTCGGTGATTCCGCACTTGCTCTATTACCATAGCACTATACTGCCTTCAGCTTTTTTTTATGAACGACTGGGTGTTTAAGGTTAGCGATTTGTCGTATCATCTGGCTGTGTCGCAAATGAAAAAATACAATTACTTTACTATGCAAGTTACACATTTGTGTTTTAAACATGTACGTGTTTTTATTTTTATTCAGGGCCCCTTTATAACATATGCTACAGGCCCCGCACGAGCTTCATCCGGCACGGACACGCGCATACATTGGAGGAAGAGTTTTAGAACGCACGTCGCAGGGTGCACGCGCGTGCTCTCGACGAGTCGCTTTCCTTTGCCCCCCTGTAACACCCGAGTCCACGACGTGGTAAATTATTTTTTTTACTCTTCCCCAGCACATGCTTAGCGCAGTTTATTTTTGGTTGCGCGTTATATCCATCGACTTCCCGTCCCAAAAAAATAATGGTCTGGACGCATTTTGACAACGCTGCAATTTCGGTGCCCAATTTATTGCCCAACACCAGAAACGAGGTCGACCAAAGTGCGCACACAATGAGCCCTCTCTTGCTGGCCACTGTCAATTTAAGTTCAGAGTTTGTGTGTGACGAGGGGTGGGAGGGGGGGGGTTGAGAAATGTGACGTCACATCAAAATGCGCAACTTTAAATGACTATAGACAACACGTTCTACTTAACTAAATAGACTTTTTAATAAATGTTTTCTCCTACAACATCAGAGTGCAGCGCCACGTTAAATACGCACTACAATGGCAATAGTTTAAAGCGAATTGAAGCATGTTTTTTTTTATTTGGGGGGGGGGGGGCAGAGCTTTGTGACGTCATATTTGAGGGGGGGTCTGACTTTTTGTGATGCCGCGTGACGAGGGGGGGGGGGGTCAAAAACCGTCCAAAAACGTGTGACGTCATTTATGGACGGCCCCTTTGCTGGCGATGTGAATTTTTTGCGTGACCATACTTCACCATGCTGGTCACGTCCGGTTGGTGTGGGGTGTGGGGAGGATGGGTACAGATATCACTCACCACTGGTGCTAGCCGCTGTTGGAAATCGGAAAGCAGGTCAATTTCACAGCAGAGTGCGCGAACCACAGCAAGTCACCACTCCAATCCACTTCTGTGCATATCTTCTATTTTAATCAAGACCGTAATGTGTCTCTCAACCCTCTAGGGCACTTCTCGACGAGGTAGAAATCTGACGTTTGGTAAATAGGTAGCTTTTAGGACACAAATAGAAAAATCTGAAAATCGGAGATTTTTGTTATTTTAAGGCCCCCAAATCTCCATTTTAAAATGCCCCGTAAAAAAATGTGTGCGTGTCATTCAGAAACCATTCAAAATATAAGATTGCGGGTTTTTTCGTTTGATAGAGCGTTAACGCGGTTTTGAACGAAACAAATACGCATTTCATGTGAATTCGAAAATTGCAAAAGATAGGGGCTTCCCCTCAGAGTATTAAGTTAATTGTTTTGTTCTTTCTAACAAAAAGAACGGACTTTTTTAATTGATCCGTTTCCGATGGGCACGCCTTTAAATATAAGTTGAAACAAGTAATCAACTATATATTCTTTACCGAAAGAACCAAGAATATGAATCCCTGCAGTCACGAAAGCTTTAAATCAAAAGTAATCAACTATTTAGTTTATTGTTGCAGAAAAATACACATTTTTGGAGAAGTTTTGTCTGATCGTAGACAAGAATTGTAAAAAAAAAAAATTCAGATGTTATATTTATTGAAATATTTTGCCTGGCTAAGACGGGCTTTCTGATCTAGTATTTTATCATGTAACCTTACTAAAATTAATGACTGTACCAACAATGAATGCATACGATTTTATAACACACCTACATTGGATATTAAGGGCAAATAACCCAATAATTAACATTCTATATATATTGTTACTTAGAGGAAATAGCAACACTCCAAAAGCAATATTGTGTCATTTATTATACTTTATGATACAAAAATGAGTCAGATGACAAATGAATAAGCCAATACTTTTGCTAATATATGCGAATAGACAAAGTATAAAAGGTGAAAGAAATTGACAAAGTGTAAAACAAGCCACGTATAATACGTAATAAATACTAGCACCACTTGGACATTTCAAGTATTTGTCAACTACCCACCGAGAATATTCAGTCCATCCATGTGATTACATCGACAACGATATTGTCAAACATGACGCATCAACATTTATTAGCAGAAATTCTGAAAGATAACCACATTTTCTGATATGCTTATTATGGCATAACAATAGTAATAATACAATATTAAACATTATTTTGATAGCTCAATATACGATCTGTCAAAAAATCAGCACACAACGTTATGCATTGACATACTTAAGGCTGACAAACATGCAGATATGAATGTCACTTTGAAGACAAATTTTTCTTCAAACTGCTTTTTGGTACTAAATTTGAAACACGAGATCATAAGAACTATTTATACTTGTAATAATGTGAAGTATTGAAGTTGCCTGTAATGTATGCTTGTCACAGCAAGTTATGGCATAGCATTTTGCTATTGGCTACATGCAGATAGCTTATATAATGGAAGAGCTACACCTAGGTGTTTAATTTGAGCCAGACCATTCCAGAGCGCCGTTAATATGCCCTTCTCTTATCTGCATGTTTCTTTTTTATATAAATCTGCTTATAGGATTATAGGCATATAGAATTATCATGGCCAGGCATACTTTTGTACTCTCGTTGTAGTGCCTTACGCTGATAATCCCTATTCCAGGTCAGCCTAGTTACGTTCCTGAAACCATCGAGAAATTACGTCGTGGTTACACCACTTCCGTTTTTTAAACATCATTTAATACAACCAAAGAAAGTAAAGTATCTGAGGAAGTGTTTTCAAAATGCCATGTGCTTTGGAGAATGTTGCAAATTCTATATCAAATAGATGAACAGTAGAACAATAATAGGGGGTTTCCCCTTTTTTCTGGCAAAAAAACTGAAACCTTTTTACAAGGATTCATGTCTGCAATACCTGCAGTCAAAATGCAAACAAAAACATACTATGATAATATATGCATTGTCCTTGAAACTGATTGGTCCACGAGCACCAATTGAGTCGAGGCTCAAAAGAAAGCCGTCCCTTGGTGTTGACCAATCAGTTTCAAGGACAATGCATATATTATCATAGTATGTTTTTTGTTTGCATTTTGACTGCCAGGTATTGTGGTTAATGCAGACATGAATCCTTGTAAAAAGGTTTCAGTTTTGTTGCCAGAAAAAGGGGAAAACCCCTATTATTACAATTTGGTACTGGCAAAGGAGGTCTAATGAAGTAGAACTATAGTGATCAAAATACAGTTCTGCATTTGCAATGTGACTAGCGAGTTGATCCAAGGTGTAAGAAAGGCAATGAAAGAGGAATTCACATTCCAAAGTTTTAACTTTTTAGGTGCCTTGCACGGACAGATACTTTCAAAAATAACCCCTGCGATCTGATCACGTCACTGCCAACATTCCTGTTTTTCGAAGGAGATTCCAATTTATGTTATGTCATGAGACAAAGTATCCATCCATTGTGGGATTCTTGCAGAGCAGTGCAACAATTCTGGGTAGACAAAAGCCAGGAGGAGACATCTCAGCACTAGTTCTAAAATGTGGCCTCTTTCAGACACAACAGGGGGTGGGGGGCTGAACTTTCCAGCTCGCCGTGCTACAGAAAAACAATTCTCATCACACGGCAAGTAAAATTGGTGTATTTCTCAAAAGTTAAATTATTCTTCCAAAAATAAGCAAAACGTTCAAAGCAATCGTTTGTTTTGTTGTAGTTGTAGTTATGAGTGACCAGGCTCAAACCATCACTTTAAATTGAGAACCTGGTTTGATCATGGACAGCTCACTTCTATTCAAACGCAATTTGCCGAGAGAGCTCAGCGGTGACTCAAACCACCTGGCCGCTGTCCTACGTTATATTTTAAAACGTGCCACTTAAATTTCGCGAGATACAGGTTTCCCTCGCTCGACGCAGGTTCGACTTGTGCGATCTCGCGCTCCGAACCTACTTCTAAGCAACAATTACGCTCCGTGCGGTTTGCATTCACTCGACATTGCGGTGATGTGGTGGGAACGTGGGACAGCGTTGTGTCTACTTCGTACGCTCCTCAGCAGGCAGCTGCCTCCTCACGTGACGTTTCTGCTTTGCTGCGCGTCTTTTTTTCGGAGAGCATCTCAGCGCATGAAGCGAGGGAAACCTCTTATTTGGGGTTGTGTAGCATCACAGCTGTTGATCGATATGCATACGGTTAAACCTCGGCGAGCCAGACTAATAAAGCGGCGAGGGGGGGGGGGGGGCGAGGGGAGCCTCGGTCTAGCCAGCTGCAAAAAAAATAATCAAAATAATGCGATAATGCAATAACCCTCGAAATAAAACCTACCATTAAAAACATACAGCGAATACAATAATTTGAAGTAATTTCTTTTTTAAATACATTTACTCGACCGTAAAAGAAAATACATGTGTATAGAAGAAGAAGAAAAAAAAACCGTATCGCAACTCCGACAAGCAAAAATAAGCAGCGAACAAGCACAACCAGAGAACGTGACGCAACAACCGACCACCGTGGCAGAAGGCGAGAGAATCCGGGGGAAGGCAAAAGCAATGAAGGGGCGGGAGAAAAACAAACCGCGTAAAGATGCGAAAGCAAGAAGACAAGAGGGCATCTTTACAGGGAGCCCCACACAGCACACACGGTTTACGATACGTCTGGGCCACAGTAACTGTGGGCCCCGCAATGCCCTGCAGCCTGGTGCTCTGGGAGCACCGATCGGTGCGCCAAATGAGTGTGTCGTTTGTCTGGCATTGGTCCGGCTAAATGTGTGTACGCATGCATGTTGAACTTCTTTCACACAGTACAGAGCCAACCTAATCCGAAGTGCGGAAATGCAAAAAGAAAAAATCTGGCAAGTCGTGGTATTACTGTGTACATTTATATGCATGCGCACACACACTCATTGTAATCGTATTTGCATACTGATAGTCACAATAAATTCCACTATGCATCATTGTAAATTATCAGTCATTGATTATTACAGACGCATTTTATTTTTCCACGTCACGTACGCGTCTTGCCATAACACACTCGGTTATGTTTCGTCACAACAAAAGTATTGTATTGTGCACATACGGTACAGCACACGCAAACACACATGCACACATATGCACGTCAATGCAATGCACGGCAATAATTAGTCTCTCATAAGACACAAAACAATTACCGAAATTAATTTAGCCACGTGTAAGTGCTTTAAGTACAAGGGCACGATTGATGTGGATATTAATGAGGGCTTAAACGACTACACACATAAAACATACCACAATATCGGTTTTACATGAGGCATGCTTTTGCACTAGCACCAATAAATATGCAAGGGATCACATTAATGGTTTTTTTTTCTTGTGAGTTACGATTTCACAGTAGGGCTATTATTTTGTTTTATTGTTCCATAGTTTAAATTGATTATGACAGGTCTGGTGGACGTCAAGTGGCATTGGAAAGGCTTTCATTTAAAACTACACTATGATTGAGATTTTAGACGCACCAGAAATATATATTCAAACTCTGCATCTTCACCTTTAGGAATTGCTTTCCTTAAGGGCTGCAAGATTTAATACAATGTTATTTTTTTTCTCAACACCAATAGTTAACAGGTAAAACACTAACAAACTTCCCGTAGAGGCATTGTTACAGAATCAAGAATATACGAATGCATAGCTGAAATACAAAGCAACAGACTACAATATATATGTATTCGAATTTGCACAATAATTTCTATTATAGGTATATATTTAAGTATTTCTATAGAGTACTTCCATTTCATTCCATTCAAGTTCCATCAAGTTTATTCCAAGCAATGAAGGTGCCAACTACTATGCTCAGTTAACACAATGCCAGTGTCCCACAGCATATGGAGAGGTAAGATACATTGAGCTCTTGCCATTATTTTCTATGAGAGTACAGTTTTCATTTTTTTTTATTTCTCAGTCCTTTTCAGGGCTTGTCTTTCCTAATAACGGTTGGCCATACAGCACATTCCACGCAGATCCGTCTCACCCTCGACTATGAAGTGAGACATTTATTTCCCTCCCTTCATATTTAACAGATTATGCATCGGTGTGTGGAGTGTGACTGCATTTGTTCACAACTCAGCAGTCCCAACATGAAGGTCGATTAAATCTCACCCTAGTGTGAACCCTACCAACCACCACACCGATCCAAGACCCCATACAGCAAAAGGATGCAATTCACATGATGGGAACCTCACAATCCAATCTGTGGTCTAGATTTCACGAATACCGTGCCAAGATTGCACTTTACAAGCTCGGTGTGACGCTGTTGCTTGTACGACGCATGCTAAGGGAGCGTGCGGTTCAACTCACACGCAAATTAATGCAGATACAATCAATTATACTCCAAAAACCGAATGTTAAGCGGGTGTCCGTAACAAACTGGGCAGCATGGAATTTACAGAACCATGTGCATTTAGCAGGGTTCATTATATTCTTGGTTCTTTTGGTAAAGTCACGTAGAAGGGAAACAATAATTTTTCTAATTTTCTTGCTGTGGTTTTCACACCTGATGATGACTGCTTGTGTTGCAGTCGAAACGTCGTGAGAATTGTATTGTTTTATATTTTTATTATTTATTGTTTCCCTTCTACGTGACTTTACCGAAAGAACCAAGAATATAAATCCCTGCAGTCACGAAAGCTTTAAATCAGGGTTCATTATCTTTCTGATAATCACACCGACATTGTGGAGTGCACACCTATGGCTTAATCATATCCCAGGTACAAACGGTTAATTGGGCAAGCGTCAATGTGCCCTCACTTGCCAGGCCGAATATGTGCTGCACTCGGTCAGATCATGAGAACGTGTTCAAATTGCATGCGGCAAGCAAGCCCTCCCACATTTCAATGCCGTGCCATGGCCGAAGAAAAACGTCTCGCATAGCAACTGGCACAGCCAACAGCACAGAAGCGCACACCACGACACAGCCACCGATATAGTATGTACAAACACAAGGCACCACGAACGTACTCTTGCCACGCATTGCAAAGGGGACAACCGCAAGAGAAAACAACTGTTTACGGACAGCAATATATAAAGTTAACCGTCTGAAATCCCTGTACTGTATTGTAAAAACGCCATTGTCTTTTACACAGCCAAATTGAATAGAAGCTTTGTATTTACTGAGCAATGCAGATTATTTGCAGTGCCAGTGTGTGCTGTGGAGCCACTACTATTCACTTGTTATACTAAAATGACACGTATGTTATTAAAGTAAAAAAGGTTCAGCTCCATTGTTTACGTATAAATAAACACGTACTTTTTTTTTTAGGCCAAAACATTAGCACCAACAGATTTTACATTTGTTTCCTATTTTGAAAGCACTTATTGCTCTAAATTAACTACTAACTTTTGTTTGACAGTCTCAAATGTCAGATCAGTTTTGGCTCATCAGCACCCAATGTTTGTGCTGAGGTTTATCACAGTGAAATGTGGCATATACAAGTTCATTGGTGAATTGACCTTAAATTTCTGTACACTGAAAAGTAGGCATGATACAGCCTATGAAAAAAAAAACACTGCTGGTATAAGAGATGCTTATGCAGCATTTTATAATGTTTTAAAATACTAGTAGAAGTTGGGAAAAATATGGTTGACCAAGGCACACATTTACCTCGGCTATAAAAACTGATTCTCAGTGTAGTTCCGGTGCAAATGCATACAGCGATAAAAACACGGCACTATTTTTTGGGCCTGCCAAAAAGAAGCCAAATTGAAATTTCGCCGCTCTCCGAGCACTTTAAAGAGACTTAACGGCACGCAAATCAATCTGCGACGGATTCCTACGCTCGCCACCGCCCCCCCCCCCCCCCCCCCCCACTTCCCCTAACGCCGCCACCTCCACCGCCGCCGCTTCAGTGCGAGTCTCCGCTCAGCGACTCGTCCCTCTGCGGCGAGGTCGGGTGCGAGGGCTCATCTCTCTCCGTGTTGCTGTCGGAGCTGGAGCCGCCCCTCTCCGAACCGCCCCGGGCCGCCCCGCCCGCCGAGGGTCCCTTGGGGCCCGACGCCCCCGCGCCGGCACCTGCCGTGGGCTTCTTCTCCTTGAAGTCGGTGATGATGACGGTGACGTTGCCCACGGTGACGGCGAGCTGCTGCCCACTGCTCCTGTCGATGTTCTTCAGCTTGGGTCTGCCCCGAGAGAGAGAGAGAGGCGCGAGCAAAAAATAAATCAACAACAGCACCGCGAGCGCGACGACGCAAGGGCCGTCTGGGTCCGGGCGGGGTACTGCGGTGGAGACTTTGCCCGCCAGACAGGTGGAAGACTGCAGAGTTTAAATACCAACTTGACCCTTCCGTCACGTTTTGGCTCGTTGAGTATGTGGAGTGAAGCTCGTCTTACCCCCTATTATCCACCCTTCCTATTACACGAGGGGCTTGGGCAGATGCGCGAGACCCCCTACGATCGGTGGTAATCCGCAGACAGCAGGCACAGAAGATGCTACCAGGAAGAACATTGTTATCCACCATTCACAATTATTTTGTGGGTAAGATAAGATGCGTAGCGCATGCACTGGATTATCCACGTTTATCCACAAATGTTGTGGTAGATAGGATTTATTTTTTTTACCGATAATTGTAGATATAATGATTCGCCAAGAGAACCAACTCCCCGCCCTCATCATGGATATAAAAAAAAGTTATACCGTGGCACATGTCTATCACGTGTGCCTCTCCATAATAGTCACTATATGATCTATATCAATAAAGCTCCTTGTAACTATATTTGTGATCTCTTTGGCTTATTATATCTTCAATCATTTTGGTAGTTCACAATCTTTTCTTTCCTCATTCCTTTCTTGGTGATTTTACAGTGTTCTATGTATTCAATTTTATCAGAATTAGAATCAGAAAGGGTTTCATTCACCATGAAAGTTCACACAGACACGGAATTTACTTTGGCAGGATGGTGCATACATTCAACATATAGGAATCTAAAATCTTAAGTAAGTGGTAAACAAGTCTTACTATAATAAGGGTTCAAAGTTTAACTAACACCAAGGGGCTAAAGTATATAAAATTGAATAAATATCGAATATAAAATAGCTATAAGATACAATCTAAAAATAAAAAAAATATAAATAGGGTAACATAGTTAATATTGGCAAGGTGTCATTTTGTAGATAAAATGTTAAAGTCAGCATATTCATCCTTTTATTATTTACCCCCTTACTGCATGCATTCTTTAAGGTTTCAGATAACTTGTCCTCAAGCTTTCTACATTAGCCACCCACTTTTAGTGCACCATCGCATCACCACAAGGTTAGCGATCTCAATTTTGAAAGTGACATCCATTTAACCATTCTGCTTCTCTGGGGAGTTCATTCCGTTGCTGATAATGAGTCGAAATTCCCTTACCTCCTGAAAACTAGATGTTTGACGTTGTCTTAGTCTCGCCTTTAATTTGCTTTGTTCTTTCTTTGCCAATTTTAAAATGTAACGTGCATCGCCCCGGCCTGCGATCGTTTGCCGTGTTTAATTTGCTAAGGTGAGAGACGTCCCAGACAACCTGGTGTGTTTTTTGTCGTGAAAATTAAGTCACTTTAATTTATAAATGTCGCTATGCAACCGCCTCCATACAGGCGCTTGTTATCTTCACGGCCCTAGTGGTTGGGAATTTCAGTTCACATTTTTTCCCTTCATTTTTAAACTAAACCATTTTATATTCTTTGGGTCTTTAAGTAAAGTCACGTAGATAGGTTCAAAGAAAATAACAAAAAAAATGAACCTATCTACGTGACTTTACCGAAAGCCTCAAGAATATGAATCCCTGCAGTCAAGAAAGCTTTAGTTTAACACGTAGGCTTTCGAGACCAATATTATTCATAATAAAGGTTTTTGGGTTAGATCGCTTCTGAAAACGAGCTATATAGCTCAGTGGGGCCTCACCTGGTAAAAAATAAAAAGTTTAAATCCTGACTTAAAGCTTTCTTTCATAATAAAGGTTTTTGGGTTAATCGCGTTATTTTTAAATGTGTCGTAACCCTCCACCACCTGACACGGCCAATCAGCAAAATAAATTGTCACGCTGACAAAAGACAAATAGTTCACTACTTTAGCCCAACGGTGTGTTGAAGAGTGAATCCACAAATGAGTTAAATGATGACGTCACCCTTCTGCTATATTTAAGACCGAGAGCAAGTGAGGGCTTTACCATTCTGGCGAATTGCCCGATGATGCTGGATGTAATTACCAGCGAAACGTCGTATTCAAACTGTAAATGTTGTGGATTCACTCTTCAACACACCGGTGGGCTAAAGTAGTGAACTAATTGTCTTTTGTCAATGTGACAATTTATTTTGCTGATTGGCCGTGTCAGGTGGTGGAGGGTTACGACACATTTAAAAATAACGCGATTAACCCAAAAACCTTTATTATGAAAGAAAGCTTTAAGTCAGGATTTAAACTTTTTATTTTTTACCAGGTGAGGCCCCACTGAGCTATATAGCTCGTTTTCAGAAGCGGCCTGGCCACAAGTGATAGTTCAACCAAGTGGCTCATCACGTGGAAATTTATAGCAGCCAAATACTCTGAACACGTGTTGATTCTAAATGTGGAGGGGAAAAACTGGAGGACCTGGAGAAAAATTCCACGCGGCCACGGGGAGAACATGCAAACTCAAAATACACAGGCATCAGGGTCAGGACCAAACCCACAATCTCCTCCATACCAGTCGAGGGAGTTAACATCTCGCCACCGCGGCATTACCAAATTCACCAAGAATCATCTCACCCCCTGGACATTTTAACTGGCGTTGCAATCAATTTACCAATTGGATCATATTGTAGCTGGTTTAGTTATTCATAAAATTGGTACATTGCTACATCTTCATGGCCTTTCGCAAGAAAAAAAGTATTTAATCATCTTAAACTTGCAGTAGTTTCAGGACCTTAATGTTATCCAGGCAACTCTTCCCTGAAGTACAACTCTTCCTCTATATTATTGGTTCTTTCGGTAAAGCCACGGAGAAGGGAAACAATGAAATAAAAAAATAAATTATTGCTGTGGTTTTCACACCTGATGATTGCTTGTGTTGCAGTCGAAACGTCGTGATAATTTTATTGTTTTATATTTTTATTTTATTGTTTCCCTTCTACGTGACTTTACCGAAAGAACCAAGAATATGAATTCCTGCAGTCACGAAAGCTTTAAATCAAAATTTAACTCTTCCTCTGTTTAGGAAATGCATCACAGGACCATGTGGAATGATGATGTGGGGAGACATTCATCCAGCAGTGGATATACACGGCTCATGATGATAATAGCCATTTTATGGTGGCTAGTAATTACTATATTTAATAAGTCGCTTCAGTTTAAGCAAAGAGAGAGTAGGTCAACATCAGTCTGAAATGTAAGCATCCACTTAATAACAAGGATGACCATTTGCATTTCTACACGTGTGCAAATGCACTCACAAGCAAGTGATACGACACATACAGCATGTGTGGTTTTGTCGATATACCTTATAAACACTGCCCTCTCCCAACTCCATTAGCCGAGTTTCAAAACAATTCTCTACCTCTAGGCAGGCCCTGGTTTTTGTCTGTTCCGCTTGAGCTATATACGTTGAGGACACCCACAAACACACACGTGTCTTACTTAACCTATTGCGACAGAGGGGAAATTGTACACCGATGATGGTACACCGATGATTGTGATCGTATTATTATTACGACTACTACGCATGTTTACCTGGGGAAAACCTCACCGAGTGCCATCATTCTTTTTCAGAAGGGTCCCTTCCATGTTTTGACAGAAGTGTGGGGGGGGGATACGATGTATATTCAACTGAGTAAATTGTAAATCGTTTTTTTTTTTGCTATCTCTCTTCCATTTGACAAATTTGGACGACACCGGCATTGTCCAATGACACCAATGTCCACCGCTAAGCGGACAGCGGCGCGTGTTACCATGAGCTGGGAATCGAACCGTGAACCTCTGGAAACGTGCAACCTCCCCGGGTGGTGTCACCGTGGATCTTTCTGTAGCTACGATTTTTCATTTGTAGGTTGAAAAAAAAAAGGCCCAGCATATTCTCATTCGTCGTCACGGACAAAACAAAACACCATTCTTAGTTGGCTGTCAAAAAAAAATCCAAGATCGGTTGTCAAAATGGAGAGCCCATCCCTTAACGATAACATTGTGCAATTTTTCGACTTGATTTGCCACCAACCACTGAAGACGAGTACTGCCAAAAGCTTGGTTGTGCAAGAGAACAGTGACTGAGATCAATGGAAATACATGGTACATTTTCTGCAAATCCAGCTTGACATCATCTGACAATCAAATGAGGACATCGTATCAATTGTAATTACAAGATAACATTCTTCATCCATTGTTAACTTTTAAAAAATGTGATTACTTTACACTATCAGTTGCATCTCTCTACCTTAATAGAATAGCAGTATAAACAGCATTTACAAGTGATGCCAATACGACCTAGTTAAGCATACACTGAGGGGTGTTTCATCAGAATTGCCAAATGCCCTGCAGAAATAACGTGTAATAAAAATAGAAAATGATAGATTGGCCTGTCGCCAAAGCATATGGGTGTGCTGCTACTCTTCCTATTACACGAGGGCTTGGACAGATGCGCGGTGTTAATCCGCAGACAGCAGGCCCAGAAGATGCTACCAGGAAGAACGTTGTTATCCACCATTCACAATTATTTTTGTGGGTAAGATAAGATGCGTAGCGCATGCACTGGATTATCCATGTTTATCCACAAATGTTGTGGTAGATAGGAGCGTTGGTGTACCGTGCTTTTTTTCTGGAATTTTTGCTGTTTTTTTATCCTGCATTTTCAGTTTGCACATAGTCACTTTAAGATGTTTTTTTGTTCATGTTTTTGTTTTTTTGTTTGTTGCGGTTGCACCCGATTCAAGAGCCAAATGGCTCACAGGGCTACACCAAATAAATGAACTTGAACTAGAATTATTTTTTTCACCGATAATTGTGGATAGAATGATTCACCAAGAAAACCAACTCCCTGCCCTCATCATTATGGATAAAAAAAAAACGTTATACCGTGGCACATTGAACCGCGGCATCACTGCTAAGCAGTAAGTACAATGAATGCGAGGGAACACGTGGTTGTAGTGGTGGCTGCAGCCATGCATATAGTCGGGGAGGAACATGCCATCGTGACGTTTTCGTTGCCAGAATGCAAATGCACACGAACTTTTTTTTGCACAATGAGCCCCTGCAGTGTTACCCTCGGTTCCCTCTTTAAGCACTTAAAAACACAGTGATGACAGCGTGCTGTTCACACAGAGGGCTCACTTCTTATTTTGTCTGAGGATGACCTGCAACCTATCGAGCTGTACAATGAGGGGGTGGGGGGGGGCACCACTTCCTTAGGCGAAAGATAAACATTAGCATGCGAAACAAGCGATCTTAACTTGCGAATGTATTTAAACGTTAAAACGCCTCTGCCCATGGATAAACATTTACATTGTAATGTTGTCATGTCATCAGATATCAGCAAATTTACAACACAGTAATGTTGTGATGTACATGCCAGTACTTTGTTTTGTACGCATGCAACAAACTGCATGATAAATGTTGTTAGATTTTTAGTTGGTTTCAAATACAGTTGTTTTAAATCGGCCATTTACTTGATTAAAGATTGTTTTGAATACTGATAAGATTGATAAAACATTTTTATGTATATAAAATCTTCTACATTTTGTTTCACACTACCTGATAACATAGTCAGATAATGGCATTTTGGATAAAAGTGAATGTTAGAAGGCAAAAACAAGTGGAAGATGCATTCTAATCACAGCTTTATCTCTCCAATGGCTTTCCAGGTTAAAACGCGAGTCATTCTGCAATGATGTCCGATGTTTCGCTCCACATCCTGGAAGCTTCTTCAGGGACTAAAAGAAAGAAGCATTCTAAAGAAGCTCCCAGCACATGGAGTGAACAAAATCAGACAATCAACCTGAACATGAGCTATATGGAACAAATGCAAAAACCTTGTTTATAATCCGGAGACTACTACGAAACCAATGCGTTTATCCGAGTATAGGAATCCCTCACTTATACATAAGTGATGCGTTCCAGGGAAATAATCCTTAACTCGAAATTACTTAAAGCTAACTATAATTTCCCATATAAATAATATTATAATCAGGGGTTGACTTCCTAGCTGACATTTCTGGTAAAGAAAATGCGTGACTAAATGTCATCAAGTGTACAACAATGCATGTTAGTGAAAGTTTGCATACATTTTAACTCATGATAGCTACAAACAATTAGATACAACTACTTACCACAGATGGTCCAGAAGCGACTCTGATTTTGATCTTCAATTCTGACACTTAAAAAGCCTTTCCAAATTTTCGACAATTCCACAACTGCGAGACGAGTAATTTTAGCGGCAGCTAAAGGTGCCACATTTTGAGCACATTCTAGAACGTTTCCTGCGTTAACTCAAACAGTTCTCACCGAGGTTGTGGGTAGGCAAAGCATTGTAGCAATATAGAAAATACACTAAAACGTCGAATTTTACCTCGAGATTAATACTTTTTCTTTGCAATGTTCCTCGCCAGAGGCGCTATCATCATCAACTGTGGCGTTTTGCACTCATCTCATACGTCATTTATGCAAGAAAAACTCTGTTATCCGGCATTCATGAGGATGGAGGGTGCCGGTTAATCAGATATGCCGGTTATCGGAGCGTTCTACTTATGGTTCACCACATTTTCCAAGTACATTAAACTTTTCAAGATAGAAACTAAGCTTAAATTTGAACTATGATATGAGAAGTAATATACTCTTTTACAGGGGTACTTACCATTTAGTTGCAGAGCATTCTAAGATGATTGTAGAGAAGCAGCAGTGGGGGGCAGTTTCGAGTACAGTATACAATGGTACAGTACTGTATGTGCAGACTGTCGCTAGCGTCACCACTCGGCAGCGTCCTGAAGCCTCCATAAAAAAAACAACAGATCTGTGAGAACCGCACGGCAAGATGCCGGATGGCTATGGGAATTGTTTCCGGACACGTGTAGGACGATTAGTATTGCCATCTATGACGGATGCCGGTGAATAGAGCATTCCGGATGGTAAAGTGCTGTACTTTTACTCGACTTGATTTAAACTATCACGTGATGCTACACAGTATGGCTACATAACACGTGCACAATGAGCACACGAAATGGCGGGGGGCTGGCAGGTGGAGGCGGAGGCACGTGATCCAAGGGATTTTTCCGCGGTACGAACTGCGCACCTACAGTACTGCATTACATTGCATCGTAGACCGTTTTCACCGTGTGAAAAAAAAACGCGCAAAAATGTTCTGTGGCAATTTTTTAAAGCAATGCATAAGTGAAACATCACACTTGCAAGGAAATATGTTCCCCCAATTAGTCAGCAAACGCATACGTGGAACAGCACACGTGGAAACCTACAGCGGGGGGGATTGCTGTATACGGCGGGAGTAGTGGCTGTCGCAAGGGGAAGACTTCTCAGTGGAGACCCCAGTCCTCAGCGTGATGGTTCGCAAACATCAACAGCCATCAACCGTGAATAATCATACCTTGTTTTTTTGTTGAGATTCCTCTTGCTTGTGCTGGAAGACGCCTCCCTGTCTTTGTCCAGCTTCTCTTTCTCACCGCGCTCCCTCTTCTCCTTCTTGGTGGGAACACTGAACTTCTGAGCCACCTGCTGGGCGACGAGCTGTGAATTCAGTCGGGGCTTCCTGCGGCCACAGCAGGCAGGCACAACGCAACATGGAACAACATTAGTTTGCTGGGTTCTGCGTTGTCAGGGGGTACAGATGACAAAAAGTCAACACAATTGTTGTCAATAACACTGCCATAAAATATATAAACGGGTAACGTTTCGGGCAACAGCCCTTCTTTAGGGGTCAATCTCTATAATTGAAAAAGGGTTCGATGTTACGAAGAACGCCCATTATTGACTAATATTTTAGTTTAGAATACAAATGTCACGTGACTGCATCTCAAAATGCTGTACAAAATCGGAAGTAGGATACTACAGGGCAAACAGGAAGATTATCACATGGTACGGTGCTGTGTAAGATACTTCAATCGAAGAGTCACAAGAGGAGCAAAAGATGCCTTAGGTTTTCTTGCTGTGGTTTTCACACCTGATGATGATTGCTTGTGTTGCAGTCGAAACGTCGTGAGAATTTTATCGTTTTATATTTTTTTTATTATTATTATATTGTTTCCCGTCTACGTGACTTTACCGAAAGAACCAAGAATATGAATGCCTGCAGTCACGAAAGCTTTAAATCAAAACATTTAGAAGAGTTGCCAGAGTGGACAAGTGGGGAAGGGATTTCTAGACATCACAGCTCACAGCCGAGAAGATGCCACCACCCACCCACACAGCAGAGGTTCACTGGGGGTTACTGACAAAAGGCTTTGGTGCCTGGCACAGAGAGCACACGAGGGGAAGCAGAGCGAGATCTACCCCTGGGGCAAGTCCAGGGGTAGATCTTTAAGGGGGTGAAGGCAGTCCTTTAACTGATAAAGAATTTCGTAAGCAGCCAGTGGAGGGGATCTGTGGAGTGGGGATGATGTGGTTTTGATTACGGATGCAAGGTGGGGAATTCTGGGCTGCTGCAATTTGATTCATTTGGAGATAGTTGTGCAGGTTCTGAAACAAACTTTGTACAAGCGGACTTCAGTTTCAACATCCGCCTGGACAACTTATCCGAGGCAAGGGGACTCTCAAACCTTGGTGAAGTTGGGAGGGAAGAAAATGTGGCTGAACAAGGCGAAAACTGTTTTTTTTTTCACATTCTGATTAATTTGGGAACCTCCCTGGTTTGTGTTTTTTAGTAACTAGATTTGAGTGCTCTCGAGCAAACAATATGACCAACTTGCATTGTAAATTTAGTTATCATAAGCCATGATCAATCTACTGCTGGATGAAGTCCTCCCTCCAAGCTGGCACACCAACACCTGTTAAAATCTTGCGATGAAAAACTCCGTCCAGCACCTGGACACAAAGTGATTTCATCGCTATATCTACTCGCTGGACATCCTCTTGGACGTGTTCCATGCCATGGTTGCTACCACTGTTCTTATTCTTGATCAGCGTCTCTCTTATAGTGATTATTTATATTATTTTACTGCTATAACACTTCCAGATAATAATCCACTTTGATGGGCTTTCATTTGTGGCCAGGTCGCTTCTGAAAAATAAGTCAATAGCTCAGTGGGCTTAACCTGGTAAGATTTAAAAAAAAATTATTGCATTTTATCTGTATATTTGTAAGTGATTTGATTACCTTTCCTATACTTTGCACTCCTATCGTGTTTTGTATTGTTTGTTGTTATAACGTTCTGAACTTTCCCGACGTGACACTTGTGAAAAAGAGCTTTATAGTTCATCTGATTTCTCCAGGATAAATGTTCAGATTCTGACATCTCCTGCCTCCTGAAGTCCACTTTTCAACACACTTCGGTTGATGTAATTCATATGCATGTATTCTCTAATCTATTTATTCATTTTTCTGCCACTGATTTCAATCAAGCATCTCTCCGTGCATCTATGCACATTTCTCTCTTTTGTTCTACATCTTTCGTGAATGACCGCGTTTCTGAACCACATGTCATAGCAGGTAGCACACATTGACCTCAAACATTTGAAAGCGACATGCTGAGAACCATAAATTATTTAATACCTGAAACTAATTAGTCATTTATTTTGGTTATTGAAACCAATGCCTGCCATCTGCTGCCCGATACGTAATGCCCACTTTTAAGCAGATGGCATACCTTGACTGACCATGTTGATGAATTAACTGTCTCAGTTCGTAGTGTGCTAATGACTAGACTACCCAGTCACTCAGAAGAAGAAATATACAGTTCTCGACTTACGAACGGTTTATGTTCCCCAGACCCGTTCGTAAGTCGATGTGTTCGTATCTCGCAACTCAATATTTAAATGCAAGTACGGCCAGTGTTATGAAATGCGTTATGGTTCAACAAACGCATTGCTAACTCAAAAATAATAAGAAATATTGTACATTTGAAAACAATACTGTAATAAATACTGCAGCATAAATAAAACATAAAATAAAGTGCCATCAAATGAAAAAAATCCGTTATATTTTCACTTACCTTGAGCCCTGACGCTGGCTTGCTTGTCGCAAGGGCTGTTGCATCACGCAGGATGCTGGGACTATATACATCTCGCCGAAGATTTCTCCGCAGAACAAAATAGTTCCGCGGTTCGGTTCGTAAGCACGGACGGACGGTTGAAAGTTGGACGGTTACAAATACTAACATCTTACGGCGGTTCGTTCGCAACTGCGGAAGTTCGTAAGTCGGGACCATTCGGATCTCGCGGAGTGCCGGTACTTGCACAACATTTTTGCAGTACACCGTCGACACAAGGCTGTTCCACGCGAGAAATTCACCGGCTCGCAGGAGGGGGGGGGGGGGGGGGGGGGGGGTGGGAGTTGGAAGCAGAAGGTAAAAGTTATCAATCTCTCACCGTGTGGACGTGCCTTTCCGCACGTCGCAGATGCTGCACTTGAACGCCTCCGCCCTGTTCCTGAACGTGCACACGCTGCAGTCCCAGTATGCCTCCTCAAACAGAGCCTTCGCCTGTCTCTTCGGCCTGTGGGGAATTGTAACAAAAAAATGTTGGGTCGGCCGTGGAGAAGGGGGAAGGAGGGGGGGGGGGGGGGGGAAGAAAAATGGAAGGAAAAAAACGTGGAGCAAATGGGAGGATTGGACAAGAAGGATGGGCACAAGACGAGACGGTGCAATTGCAAGCGAGGGAAATTCACCGGACATGATCCAGGTCAACCTTGCAAAACAGGCAATGTTGTTTCATGTATCTTAATGGGTCTGTTTCACCGTCTGGTTAAAGAAGGGATAGCGGAGAGAGCAAATGGCTGTGCATTTAACGTGACACTAAAACGCACGTCTATACGCTGGTATGTGTGCAGTACATGTACCTGTGTATGATATCCACATGATGCATATTTAATGCATCATGTAAATAGAATTACAGAACAGTATAGTACACATATGTTCACACAGATATGTACACACAGTGCACAAATCACGTACATACAGGGTACACACAGATTTGCATTTTAAAAAGACAAATACTATACCTATGCATAATTAAATGTAAAAAATACAATTATTACACGCATAGATATTACTTAAGGCGACACACAGATGGTTAACACGTATATACTCACATAACGAGAGAAATACACACATATAGCACACGTATACATACACTTAAGATATTTGTATTCTTTATACACATCAGATTCAGTACAAATTCACAAACGGTATGTGTCGTGTAACCGAGGGGAAAGAAAGTTCACAATGTTGTCGTGAAAATGGCCTTATTTGGGAAATACTGTGGTTTAGTCTTTTTCTAAGCCAACAGATGCATACATGACATTTAACATACACAAAGATAAATCACTACGCACATGTACAAGGACTGTGTATACACACCTGAACATGTGCACAGCTCACTGCATACAAATGCATATATAGACAAAATAAATAACAACGAATGTCAAAACCAGTCCAGTTTGCTTGTATTGAACCAATGGTGCCGGTAAAATGCCCTCCCAGAAGGCAGTGCGCAGACGATGGGTTGTCTAAGAAACACATTTTTACGTCGATAAGTATATATGAGAAGGGCGCGATATTTATTTTGTCAACAACAATTTCCACATTGACACTTAAATATTGGTTTGTGTTATACAGTTATGTGTAAAACTATGGACCCGTTTTTTACACAAAGGGTAGTTATCTGTACATATTTGGCAGTTCACCAGCATTGGCTCAAGCAAGCCTGACTGCTGATGAGACATTCAATGTACATGTATTGAACCAATGCTGCACATATACATACGTCACAATGCATGCGTAGGCAATGTGTGCGCCCTAACGCATGAATAAATACACGCATGAATATGCTCCCTATATGTGAATACATCGATATACACATATGTGCATATTGTGTATACTCGAATGCATAAACGAAGGAATGGCTGTCACTACCACACCTCACTTTTAATTATTTACCGTAAATTTACAAATTGTTAACTCTTTAGAGCATCTCTCCCACCACCTCCCACAGTGCTCCAACCAAAAACAGCCATCTAACATCAGCCAAACTCAAACCTCATGCCATACTTTTCTCACCTCCCTTCAATCTTAGGCCTCCCGTCTCTACTAACTGGTGATGTTGACATCCAAGCTGACGATTCATCAATTGTCCTTCCCCCGCACCTCTGATTAGCACGGTTGGCTACGTACGGTGTGAAAAGAGTTCAACATACACACAAGTCACTCTTGGAATCCATGGATCCCCTCCCTTCTAATTTAATCTCCCAATCAACAATATCGCGACCTCTGATCTCCAACACCACGTCCACCAGTCCATCGGGGTGAGTGGGCGAGGAGACTGGGTATGAGAGACTGATGGATGCCAAGAGTGACTGGAATCTGGTTGAGATAAAATGAATGTATAGTCAGCATGGATGTTATAAACACCAGTAATATCACATGACTGGACCACCACCACCACCACAAGCTACTAATTTTCCCTCCCTAGGCCACCTCCTTCCGAGTTTCCAATCTCCTTCCACGCCAGTCAAAAAAAAAGTTAAAGTTGCAAATTTGTAATGCGCACAGATTCCGTAGACTCAGAGGCGCAGAAAACCACAGGCAAGCGGGAAGGCAGAACCAAAGCTGGGTGGCCCTCTGTTACCCAAAAGCTAATATGAGCTAACTATTTACATGCCGATTAAAAAAAAACTGTCATTAGAAAAAATATTTTAGTTCTCATCGTGTATAGTGCTGATTCAAACTCTTATTATCCACTCTTATCTGTCTGCCCCCTCTATGTGCTATATAGAAGGACCATTGCCCAAAAACGTCGCCTATTAAACATTATTTTTTCATCTTTTAAGGCACTTATTGAATCACGTGTTGAGTTTTGTTTTTGCTAAATTTGTTTGATGAACCAAACTCCATTGATGTTGGAGGAAACCAGAGCAACCGGAGAAAACCCCCACGCATACGAGGTGGTCAACAATCCTCCCAACACAGATGGGAAGTCCATGTTTGCTGTCCCTCCGTTATCCTGGCAAGCCAGAGTATGGGCCACCGCAATGCCCATGGCAAGGGTGTTTCACAACACGTGTGCGAGTCACCATGCCTTGCCACCACAGTGCTGGGTTACAGGTGGAATGCACCAACTTGCAACTACTGCCACACATCCATGTTATTAACTTCCCTGCTCCGCCAATCTTTCTTGTCCATTCCTTGCATCATAGTAGGCTCCAAGTGTACTTCCCTAAGAGCATATTCATGCCACTTCGTCTGCCAGTGTGATCTCTCTTCCCGTGCTATAGAATCTGACCCTTTCTACAGCCACCGTACACAAGTGCTCTCAGTGAGCAACAACAAACATTAACCCAATTGATTTGAAGCCTTCGTGACCACAGTAATCCATATTCGTTGGTTCTTTCGGTAAAGTCACGTAGGTAGAAAATAATAGATCACGACTTTTAGATCGCAACACAAGCAATCGTCATCAGGTGGGACAACCACAGCAAGAAAAAAACTGCTGAAGTTTTTTTTCTTGCTGTGGTTGTCCCACCTGATGATGATTGCTTGTGTTGCGATCGAAAAGTCGTGATCTATTATTTTCTACCTACGTGACTTTACCGAAAGAACCAAAGAGTATTAACCCCACTGGTCATGAACTTGTAATCCACCGTCAGATACGGAAGATTCGCATCAATCTCTTGAGCATCAACTCAATCCAGGGACCAAATCAGACCTATACTCTGCAATAATGATCACACACTAGCATTCACGTCAGGATTGACACGTGTGAACAACGTACTTACGATTTGAAAAAGGCAGGTGGAAAATTGGGAATGGTATAATGGTGACTCTGCTCCTCCAAATTGACCTGGATGAGACTGGAAGGTGGAACTCGAGATGGCCACACAAAGCAACCACAAGACCCTGAGTTCACATCTTTACTTCGTACACGGGTGTAGTTTTACTACCACATGCAAAATGATTTCCAATTCCAAAAATGCATCTGGCCTTATGACAACACACATTGCTTTAATTTAAATACCCAGGCTCCAGAGGCTGTACGCAGCAACCTGTACAAAAATAAACAATTATAATCATGACTTTATATTAAAAACACATACATATAGAGGTCCCCCGTGTAGCCTACACAGGCTGTTGGGGCAAGTGCTGTTAGCGAGCACCTATGAAGGCCGGAACGGTACACGATGGGGTGGGTGGCCAGCACCACGCCCGACCGCCTTTGTCTCCCCAGTGGTGTGTTCACACGCCGCACCAGGTACTTATTTGAGGCTGAGTCGACCTAGGGGAGGCCCGTGACCGGTTCAGAAACAACCGCACACACACATACACAATCGCACTCGCACAATCAATGACACACAATGACACACACAAATGCACATTCACACACGATCAATTACACACAATCACACATATATACACACTCACACACATTCACACTCACACACATACACAATCACACACACACACATATACACAATCACACACACATATACACAATCACACACACATATACACAAACACACACATATACACAATCACACACATACACAATCACACACATACACAATCACACACATACACACAATCACACACACATATACACAATCAAACACATACACACACTCACACCTATCTACACAATCACATACACACAATCACACACATACAATCACACACAAACACAATCTAACACACACACAATCACACACTCACACACACAATCACACAGACACACAGACACACAACAACAAAGAAAAAGATCCTCCATATAGCCTTAACAGACTGTAGGGGCAAGTGCTGTTAGCGAGCACCTATGAAGGCCGGAACGGTACACGAGGGGGTGGGTGGCCAGCACCACGCCCGACCGTCTTTGTCTCCCCAGTGGTGATGTTCACACACCGCACCAGGTACTCATTTGAGGCCGAGTCGACCTAGGGGAGGCCCGGGACCGGTTCAGAAACAACCGCACACACACACACATACACAATCGCACACAAACATAGACAATCACACACACAATCACAAACACACATACACAATGACACACACAATTAATCACAGACATATACACAATCACACACACATACACAATCGCACTCACACAATCAATGACACACGATCAATGACACACACAAATTCACATTCACACACGATCAATTACACACAATCACACATATATACACACTCACACACAATCACACTCACACATATATACACAATCACACACACATATACACAATCACACACATACACACAATCACACTCACACCTATCTACACAATCACACACAATCACACACATACAATCACACACACACAATCACACACACAATTACACACTCACACACACAATTACACACTCACACACACACTCACACACACACTCACACACACAATCACACACACACACACAATCACACACAGACACACACAATCACACACACACAACAACAAAGATAAAGATCCCCCATATAGCCTTAACAGACTGTAGGGGCAAGTGCTGTTAGCGAGCACCTATAAAGGCCGGAACGGTACACGAGGGGGTGGGTGGCCAGCACCACGCCCGACCGCCTTTGTCTCCCTAGTGGCAATGTTTACACACCGCACCAGGTACTCATATGAGGCTGAGTCGACCTACGGGAGGCCCGGGACCGGTTCAGATAATCGTCACTGGTGTTGGCCGTGAGCGGGAATCGAACCCGGGTCGCCAGGTTCATAGCGCAGCGTAGCGCTAACCGCTACACTACCGCTCCCCACACACACACAGTCACACAATCACACATACACACAATCACACACATACACACAATCACGCACACACACTCACACCTATCTACACAATCACACACACGGCAGCCGCCGCCATTCGCCACGATGTGGCGATCACGTCACCACGGCGCGTGTGCCAGGCTAGGTGCACTTTTAAGGCCACGTGAAGTGCCTCACTCAACTCACACCGACACAAATAGACAAAGGCAAAGCTCCCCCGTGTAGTCGACGCAGGCTGATAGGGGGCCAAGTGCCGCGAACGAGTAAGCGCCGACTACGACCGACACATGGGGAGGGGTCGTTGTAGGCAGCACCGCGCCCGGCCGCCTTTGTCTCCCCAACAGGCGTGCACACGACGGCGTGTGGTGAAGGCGCAGCGCCTCTCGCCTTACCTTGTGGGGCTTCTTTTGTCGCCCATTGCGATGTGGCTGGCGGCCACTCACCAACACGCGGAGAGAGAGAGGCGGGCGGGCTGATGGTGGTGGTTGTTGTTACCGACACGCGGGTCGATACAGGCGCGAAGAAGGCGAAACGAAGCAATCACATCGAGCTCAACAACAAACAACAACAACAACAAACAAATAGTCGACTGAAACAAACCAAAAAAAATTGGGCAATAAACAGCGACGTAAGAGAAATGGGAGACGCTGAGCAGCGGCTTCGACTCACACCGCCAGAGACGGGCGAACAGCTGAGCAGCTGCCCCCCTCCCTCCATCGCGGCCACGTGACGCGAGCACAGCCAATAGGGCCGCCGCCCGAAAAGGGGGTGACATCATGGGTTTGTGGGGAAGTCGCCCCACGTGTGTTGGGGGAACACGGGGGGAGCCAGCGGCTCGCAGTTGGGAATCCACGTGCTGTGTGTGTGTGTGCTGTGGTCTTGTCTCGGCCTAGATACACCAACGTGCTGTGTGTGTGTGTGTGCTGTGGTCTTGTCGCGGCACAGAGACACCCACGTACTGTGTGTGTGTGTGCTGTGGTCTTGTCGCGGCACAGAGACATCCACGTGCTGTGTGTGTGTGCTGTGGTCTTGTCGCGGCACAGAGACACCCACGTGCTGTGTGTGTGCTGTGGTCTTGTCTCGGCCTAGATACACCCACGTGCTGTGTGTGTGCTGTGGTCTTGTCGCGGCACAGAGACACCCACGTGCTGTGTGTGTGTGCTGTGGTCTTGTCGCGGCACAGAGACACCCACGTGCTGTGTGTGTGTGCTGTGGTCTTGTCTCGGCCTAGATACACCCACGTGCTGTGTGTGTGTGCTGTGGTCTTGTCTCGGCCTAGATACACCCACGTGCTGTGTGTGTGTGCTGTGGTCTTGTCTCAGCCTAGAGACATCCACGTGCTGTGTGTGTGCTGTGGTCTTGTCTCAGCCTAGAGACACCCACGTGCTGTGTGTGTGTGCGCTGTGGTCTTGTCGCGGCACAGAGACACCCACGTGCTGTGTGTGTGTGTGCTGTGGACTTGTCGCGGCACAGAGACATCCACGTGCTGTGTGTGTGTGTGTGCTGTGGTCTTGTCTCATTCTAGAGACACCCACGTGCTGTGTGTGTGTGCTGTGATCTTGTCTCAGCCTAGAGACACCCACGTGCTGTGTGTGTGTGTGCTGTGGACTTGTCTCGGCACAGAGACATACACGTGCTGTGTGTGTGCTGTGGTCTTGTCTCAGCCTAGAGACATACACGTGCTGTGTGTGTGCTGTGGTCTTGTCTCAGCCTAGAGACATCCACGTGCTGTGTGTGTGTGCTGTGGTCTTGTCTCAGCACAGAGACATCCACGTGCTGTGTGTGTGTGTGGTCTTGTCTCAGCCTAGAGACATCCACGTGCTGTGTGTGCTGTGGTCTTGTCTCAGCCTAGAGACATCCACGTGCTGTGTGTGTGTGTGTGCTGTGGTCTTGTCTCATTCTAGAGACACCCACGTGCTGTGTGTGTGTGCTGTGGTCTTGTCTCAGCCTAGAGACACCCACGTGCTGTGTGTGTGTGTGCTGGGGTCTTGTCTAAGCCTAGATACATCCACGTGCTGTGTGTGATCTGGTCTTGTCTCGGCCCAGAGACATCCACGTGCTGTGTGTGTGCTGCGGTCTTGTCTCATTCCAGAGACATCCACGTGCTGTGTGAGTGCTGTGGTCTTCTCTCGGCACAGAGACATCCACGTGCTGTGTGTGTGTGTGCTATGGTCTTCTCTCGGCACAGAGACATCCACGTGCTGTGTGTGTTGCGGTCTGTCTCATGCAGAGACATCCACGTGATGTGTGTGGTGAGCTGTCTCGTCCACAGACATCCACGTGCTGTGTTGTGCGGTATATCTCATCCAGATACATCCACGTGTGGTGTGTGTGAGCGTCTGTCTCATCCACTCACTCAGAGTGGATGAGTGGAGGAGGCTTGTGAAGGACGCTAATGGGCAGTTGGAAACAGTCGCCCTCCGACATTAGCGGAGGGCAGAGGAGCCGAAATTCACAACATCGGGTGGAGCGCCGGGCGGATAAAACACAGCAAATTGGCACAGTCAGGGACACAGTAGGGGGCACAAATGGAGCATTGGCCAGTCATCTCAGGCAGTCAACCGATGGCACCTGGGTCTTTCCCGTGACCTGCCAGCGAGTCTTCTACACTTCACGTGGCCTCAAAGTGCACGTAGCCTGGCACAAGCGCCGTGGTGACGTCACCGCCACTGAGTGGTGAACGGTGGTTGTTGTGTGTGTATGGGGAAGTCTAATTCAGAGTAATTTGCGTGCTGTGTGTTTGGGGAAGTGTTTCTCACCCATATAAATTCGCCAATGTTTTTGTGTGTGTGTAGAGGTCTGTCTGACCCAGAAAAGTTGGAACGGTGGGTGTTGGGAATTGTAGCGGTCTGCCAGAGTGATCGGAAAATGTAGTTATGCACTTTAGTCTATTATAATGTATTTACTGAGCTGGATAATGGGGGGGGGGGGGGGGGGGGGGGGGGGTTCATACTGGCATTTGCAGAGTTGGTCTAATTTTATTGTATTGATATGATTTTCATTTTAGTTTAATCGCTTTACATATCTCGGCAAATACTATTTTGTTTGTTGATGTCTGGTTTGCATTATGTTCTATAGGGCCTTGGCTTAGAAACTGCTAAAATAATATAAATTATAAATAATGACGCCAATTACGTGGTTAGGAACGCCTCAATGAGTCACAAGACGTAGTGGTGGCACCCACTACCTTGCGTCACAAGACGTAGTGGTGGTTACCCACTGCCTTGAGTCACATGACGTAGTGGTGGTACCCACTGCCTTGAGTCACAAGACGTAGTGGTGGTTACCCACTGCCTTGAGTCACATGACGTAGTGGTGGTTACCCACTGCCTTGAGTCACAAGACGTAGTGGTGGCACCCACTACCTTGAGTCACAAGACGTAGTGGTGGTACCCACTGCCTTGAGTCACATGACGTAGTGGTGGGACCCACTGCCTTGAGTCACATGACGAAGTGGTGGTACCCACTGCATTGAGTCACAAGACGTAGTGGTGGTACCCACTGCCTTGAGTCACATGACGTAGTGGTGGTTACCCACTGCCTTGAGTCACAAGACGTAGTGGTGGTACCCACTGCCTTGAGTCACATGACGTAGTGGTGGTTACCCACTGCCTTGAGTCACAAGACGTAGTGGTGGTACCCACTGCCTTGAGTCACATGACGTAGTGGTGGTTACCCACTGCCTTGAGTCACATGACGCAGTGGTGGTTACCCACTGCCTTGAGTCACATGACGTAGTGGTGGTACCCACTGCCTTGAGTCACATGACGTAGTGGTGGTACCCACTGCCTTGAGTCACATGACGTAGTGGTGGTACCCACTGCCTTGAGTCACATGACGTAGTGGTGGTTACCCACTGCCTTGAGTCACATGACACAGTGGTGGTTACCCACTGCCTTGAGTCACAAGACGTAGTGGTGGTTACCCACTGCCTTGAGTCACAAGACGTAGTGGTGGTACCCACTGCCTTGAGTCACATGACGTAGTGGTGGTACCCACTGCCTTGAGTCACATGACGTAGTGGTGGTACCCACTGCCTTGAGTCACATGACGTAGTGGTGGTACCCACTGCCTTGAGTCACAAGACGTAGTGGTGGTTACCCACTGCCTTGAGTCACATGACGTAGTGGTGGTACCCACTGCCTTGAATCACAAGACGTAGTGGTGGTACCCACTGCCTTAAGTCACATGACGTAGTGGTGGTTACCCACTGCCTTGAGTCACATGACGTAGTGGTGGTACCCACTGCCTTGAGTCACATGACGTAGTGGTGGTACCCACTGCCTTGAGTCACATGACGTAGTGGTGGTTACCCACTGCCTTGAGTCACATGGCGTAGTGGTGGTACCCACTGCCTTGAGTCACAAGACGTAGTGGTGGTTACCCACTGCCTTGAGTCACATGACGTAGTGGTGGTACCCACTGCCTTGAGTCACAAGACGTAGTGGTGGTTACCCACTGCCTTGAGTCACATGACGTAGTGGTGGTACCCACTGCCTTGAATCACAAGACGTAGTGGTGGTACCCACTGCCTTAAGTCACATGACGCAGTGGTGGTTACCCACTGCCTTGAGTCACATGACGTAGTGGTGGTACCCACTGCCTTGAGTCACATGACGTAGTGGTGGTACCCACTGCCTTGAGTCACATGACGTAGTGGTGGTTACCCACTGCTTTGAGTCACAAGACGTAGTGGTGGTACCCACTGCCTTGGGATATCTGGATAATGTTGTTACTGTTTGAATCTGGAAACACAACTGAGTAGTCAACTGGACAGTACTTGGAGAATGGCCACATATACGCACAGGTGAAACATGCGTTTCATATATTTGGCTGCTATGCATTTCCACAGGGTGAGCCACATCGTTGAGCTATCATTTGTGGCCAGATCGCTGCTGAAAAAGAGCTACATAGCTGAGCGGGCCTGGCATGGAAAAATGAAAATAGTTAAGTGTCACTCAGCCAGTGTTCATCATTGCAAGTTCCGCGGGCCACTGGCCGGCCCTTGGTGGCCTTTAGTGCGGCCTCTGACAGTACACAAAGAGTGACAACACCCCCCCCCCCCAATCATCATCATCGTGCTGCTGTCAAACCCCCAATGGTTTCAAAGGTGTGGCGACCCTCACGCTGACGATGTCTTATCGGCGAAAGTGCCCCCTAAACAGCTCCGCGCACAAAACAACTGGCAAACCATGGGGTATTGCCCAGGCTCAACTAGGGCTTAGCTTTTGAGACCCTGTCACGTGCATACAATTTTACATTGAAAATGTATTTCTTTAGAATGGCGTTTTTTTGTGTTGTTTAGTTTTTTTTCCTTCCCCAGCACCTCTGATTAAAACGGTTGGCTAGGTATGGTCCGAAAGAAGTTCAACATGCATACATCATATTTGACCAACATGGAAACATATTTCGCCTTTTATATCGGTGTAAAACGACAACGTAAATATATATGAAAGGTAAAATACATTGTATAAATGTACATATTTCACATTAAATACCAAGTACTAATACAAACAATATAGTGGGGAGTGGTAATGTGGTGGTTAGCGTGCTGCGCTACGAACGTGACCCCCCAAGTTCGATTCCCACTCACGATCAACATGGCCACTAGGGAGACAAAGGCGGCCGGGCGTGTTGCTGGCCACCCACCCCTCGTGTGCCGTGCCGGCCTTTATAGGTTGCTACTCACTAACAGCACTTGCCCCAAGTCTGTTCCGGCTAATACGGAGGATCTTTG